TATATATATATATATATATATATATATATATATATATATATGTGTGTGTGTGTGTGTGTGTGTGTGTGTGTGTGTGTTTTCTGCAATACCGCATGTTCTCTGCTGGTTTCTGTTCACACACACGTTGTACAGGACAGCTGGTTTGTTATTTTCAGTTTGACTGTAATGGGCATTTACTTGAATCCTGAATTCGATGAACTGCTGCGTTGTTGATGTTTTATCAGGGTTCTTCATTGTGGCTTTTATCCATGGACACTGATGACTGCTCTCATCAAGAGGACAAAAAAGCAGTTCACAATGGTTTGTTTTGGATGATGCATGTAAATTGCTATAGTTATGTGTACTATACTTTTTTTTTTTTGGAAAATAAATACATTTTTTAAAGCAAACTTTCTATTCGAGTTTTAAAGAGCCCATATTATACATGAAATAGGGTCATATCTTGGTTGTAAGGGTCTCCAACAACAGTCTAATATGCATGCAAGGTCAAAAAACACTTTCATGGTCTTATAATCTGCATTTATTTTTACCTAATTATCCCAGCGACTCCTGTATGAATCGTCCAGTGATTCATTTGTTCCCAAACCCCTCCTTAGCGCGAAGCTAATCTGCGCTGATTGGACCGATGACAGTCTGTCGCGATTGGTCGACTGCCTTCAGTCAGAGAGTGAAATGGCCAATAGCTAATCAGCAATTTAAAAAGTAATCACAGTTCATACACGCTCGATAGTGTAGGCGTGGATTTTAGCTGCCACACACACACAAACACCTCCGGACGAGAACGTTAGAACCCGCCCCGTATTCTGCCCGCCGCGCCCGATCCCGCTAAAGAGCGGGGGAGAACAAAACCGAAAATCTGTATAAACACACACACAGCACCAAGCATAAAGCTCTCGCTCGCTCGCTCTCTCTCTCTCTCTCTCTCATACGCGCGCGTGCGCACTAACACACAAGCACCAAGCAGACACATCTTTCTCTTTCTCAGGCAGCCCGCTCCCGTCCCAAATCAAACCCGTTACCGACCGCTCCGGCGATTTATTCGGAAATTTATTCCCGCGCCGCAGAAATCTGGCGCGGGGACAGCCGCGGGTATGCACACCTCTAACGTTACCACGGAGCTCCATAAACAAAGCAGCACGCGTCGCGTTTTTAACGTGACTTTGCACGCGATAAGAGAATATAGCCAGTTAACCTGATACAGTACACGCGGTTACAAGTAACAAATCACAACTAAATACATTTGCAAGCTAGAGTCAACGAGGCAACAACTTTAACCGCACGTACTTACACTTGAGAAATGGAAGAAACCCATCCTGATGTCCATCAGTAAGTTACTGATCCTTCCTTTAACAAACGCAGATGAAGTATTCTTTGTAGCATGTAGCTTCCAGAAGTTTCCAGTAGTTTCCAACTGCTTGGCTATAATGCTGAGGTTTCATCTTTGGGTAGAGACTCAATATATCCATCTGCAATGTGACTTCAATCGACCGGCATGTTTGTGTGCGTGTGTTTGTGGGTGTGTGTGTGTGTGTGTCTGGGTTACTGCGTCAGAGGGCGGGGCCTCAGGTTTGAAATCTCCCGGGTTTGCGCGTGCACGTGAAAAACTTTGTTTCGTTCGTACGTCATGGCGAAACACCTAATGAGTCGGTATCAAGGCGACTCGTTTGAAGCACTATGAATCGACTCTTTTATAGATGAATCAACAGTTTTAAACACTGTATTCTTACAGATTTAAGCCTTAGCTGGATACTTCACTTCACTTAGAGCTGTGTTACACACTACATGGAGGGGAATTTTCAAAAACCCATAATATGGGCTCTTTAATCCAAGTGATTTGAGGGAAAAAAGCTTTCATGATTAATTCAAGGTATCAATTCATTCATTTTCTTTTCAGCTTAGTCCCTTTATTAATCCGGGGTCGCCACAGCAGAATTAACCGTCTAATTCGTTTATAAACGTCTAATAACGTTTAATAACGTTTATAAAATCAAATGGTAATTATCACAGCAAGAAGGATGCTGATTCAAGCCTTGGCTGGGTCAGTTGTCATTTCTGTGTGGAGTTTGCATGTTCTCCCCGTGTTTGCGTGGGTTTCCTCCGAGTGCTCCGGTTTCCCCCACAAGTCCAAAGACGTGGTAAAGGTGTATGGGGTAACTTAAATTGTCTGTAGTGTATGTGTGTGCATGAGTGTGTATGGATGTTTCCCATTGATAGGTTGCAGCTGGAAGGGCATCTGCTGTATAAAACATATGCTGGATTAGTGGGCAGTTCATGACCCTAGGTTAATAAAGGGACTAAACCGAAAAGAAAATGAATAAATGAAATGGTAAAATATATTTAAATAAAAAAGGCAACTAAAGATTATTTCTTTTGTTTTATATTAAATAGTTCATTCATTTATTTTCTTTTCGGCTCAGTCCCTTTACTAATCAGGGGTCGCAACAACATCCAGTATCCAGCATTTGTTTTATGCAGTGGATTCCCTTCCAGCCGCAGCCCAGCACTGGGAAACACCCATACACTCTTCCATTCACACCCACACATACACTACAAACAATTTAGTTAATCCAATTCACCTATGTAGCGCATGTCTTTGGACTGTGGGTGAAACCAGGACACCCGGAGGAAACCCATGTGAACACAGGGAGAACATGCAAACACCACACAGAAATGCCAACTGACCCAGCCGAGGCTCGAACCAGCAACTTTACTGTGAGCACTACCCTCTGAGCCATTGTGTCGTCCCTATATTAAATAATAAATGGGAATAATACTATAAATTGTACTTATTTTGTAGTATAATTAAATACACATATATGCATATATAAAGCACACATATATAAGATTATGATATAAATATAAAATAAGCGCATATATATATATATATATATATTTATATTTGAAGAGTTCAGATGTAAAACCCGTTAAATGCCATCTGCCTGAAGATGCCAAGGCTTGTACATGCCATCGAAAATCTTCTGAAATGAGCATTTTTCTGTTTGTTTTTTTCCCCGTGTAGTTTCAGATATTTCACTTTTAAGGTAATAAATAGGTTATATTTTATTGCTTTTAAAGTCCAATAACAGCATATAAACATAAGAGTCTGAGGGAAATAATGCTCATTAACATTTCATATAGCTTCTATAGGTTCGTGTATCTGAAGTCTTCATATACATAATAAATATACAGTCTTAAATTGTAAAAACTAATGTTTGTATATACACAAACATACACACGCATGCATTATATATATATATATATATATATATATGTATATATATGTATGTATGTATATGTATGTATGTATGTATATATATATGTATATTTATGTATGTATATATATGTATGTATGTATATGTATGTATGTATATATATATGTATATTTATGTATGTATATATATATATGTATATATATATATATATATATATATATATATATATATATATATGTATGTATGTATATATATATATGTGTGTGTGTGTGTGTGTATGTATGTGTGTGTGTGCGTGTGTGTGTGTGTATGAAAGTAGTATAATTAATGCAGTTATATTTTGTTTTATCTACAAGAGGGCTATTTTTAAAAAGCTATTAATTTAAGTGATTTATAAACGTCATGGGTTTTTTTTTTATTACAAAGTAAAAGAAGTTAAAAAGAAACCTATCTGTTAAATTACACTCCAATTTTAATATCTTCTTTAGAATGCAATCATATTTCGGTTTCCATACGCCGTTTGTTTTGACCTGGGCATGACTATCAAGCAGATTACTTAGGCAGCATCTTTAGTTTTGTTTTCCTGACACCGCTGACTGTAAACGGGGCCCAATCAAGGTCTCTCTGTCGCTTCTTCCTGCTTTCAGTGCACCTGTCTATTTTTGCGCATTTCTAAATCAAATGTGTTAACAGACAGTCAAAGAAAAGCAAACCTCTGCTAAACTGCATATTATTTTTCGGTCAAATTTTATATATAACAGTTCATGGATGATACAGATTGTCATTAAATTTGTCCCTATAATGCTGTATGTCATTCATCCCCTCCTACAGGGCCCTTTCTCTGTTTTCGGTTTCGTTTTTCTTTCTGACAGACTTTAAAAGGGAGGGTTTAAAGGGTCTGTTTTACCGAAGCAACACACAGACCTCTCGACAGCATACGTATTGCAGAGGTGAGTGAACGTATACTGACTTATTAGACCATTAGAATTACATTTATAAATACATTTATAGAGTCTATTCCATGCTACAGCATGGGTAAAGTATATTTAAAAAGCATAATGCCTAGTTATTTAGCTTCTTTTAAATTATTGTTTACATTGAAACATTTTGACGATTAGTTTTAGTGAATTGCCTAATGTAAAAAGAACACCTTACAAAAAGACTCTCACAGTCCACTAATTCTGTAGATGCATTGTCTGTAAGTTTATTTGTTTGTATTTATAGCCTGACTCATATATTAATGTTATGTACACAGAGATGGCTAAGGCTTATTGAATGTACATAGATTTTGTACAGTTTCACTCTGTAGTCAATGTGGCGTGGAATACAGCAACATTCTCCAGCAAGCTTTGGGAGAGTTTACTGTGTCTGCCTGCCTAACTGTGGGAAGAGAAACACCAGAGTGAAGACAGAACATCAGATATTTTATCCAATAAATATAATTTTTCAGATGGATGGATTGTAATGTTCCTTATGATTAAAGTATTGGTTGTTAACTTTATATTATTTATGAAACTATTATTTAACTTCCACGTCTTTAAGGGACAATTCAGCCTATAAATGTAACATTTACTCGTTATTCACTTTTTCCAAACCTGTTTAAGTTTAATTTTTTTCTTTGTTGAACATAAAATAAGTTATTTTGAGAAGTGTATTTGTAAGAGAATTACATTTATTTTTGGTAAACTATCCCTTTAAAATTATTATGATGGTAAGCAATGATCTAAAACAAGGTGTGGTTTGCTTAATTCATATTCTATCTGCATGTTCGGATTGCTTGGATCACTTTATTACTTTATGCACGCTATTACTTTTTTTATACTACAGTAAAAATCATTGCAGTGGGTAAGCTTATGTAACCCTACACATTACATGATGCTATTCTTGTTGAAGCTTCAGGAAACGTGTCTGTTGTTTCACTCAAAACTATTTTTGTCAGATGTTTATCAATAACCAAAAATGAACATTTACATGCAAACTTGTTACTTGTTCTTTTTGCTTTGACATTTTTAGTTAGATTGTTGTTTTGATAAAACCTAAGATTTGAAGTTTTACCTTGACTGAAATTTTTTAAATTTTTTTGTGAAAAAATATTGAAGTTGATCTGTAATATATAATAATTAATTATTTGTAACAACAACAAAAAAGTCTACCAATGCCAGCATTTGTTCTTACACAGTGAAGTTTAAAATCTGCAAACTTTTCAGCCATTTTAAGATATATATGAAGTACTGTACTTTTGAAACATTTGCATGTTAATCAAACAGATTGAGTTTATGTTTGTTTTGAAAGTTGAAATTTGAAATCCTTATTTTTTGTTCTGTTACATTATTTTTTATGCAGTTATATTTGAACAAACGGTTTTCATCTGATACGTAAAATATTAACTCAAATATATTTTAGTTTACCAAAAATATGTTGTTAACCATGAAAAATTTCAAATTTAACCATTTAATCCGAGATTATTAAATGTGTATGCGTGTGTGTGTGTGTGTGTGTGTGTGTGTGTGTGTGTGTGTGTATGTATGTATGTATGTATATATATATATATATATATATTAGGGATGTGCGTAGCAGCCGGTATTTGTATTTGTTGAGGGGGGGGAAAGTATTTGTATTTGTATTCGAGTAAAATTCAAAATGGCGCAAAAATGTATATTTTTTCTATTACACTTTACTAATTTACGTTATAGTGAAAGTATTGTTTAATTATACCTATTATATAAATTATAGACATGCAATATTGGTTGTTGTTTTTGAACATGTGACAAGAAATGTCATTGAAAAGAAAATAACATAGAAGCCATTATCTCATCCATGGTTAAACCAACAACTAATAAAATACCATTGTGAATATTATGAACCCCACCACCACCGTTCTTGTTGAAGGACACTGAATAGGCAGAATAAAAACAAATAATACTTCAAAAAACTGTTCTTCTTCTGAAAGAACTTCTTTCCAATGGACAGAATTCCAAAAACTAATATTAACTAAATAAATCTAAATAAAACCCTGCCTGGGAGATCTGGCAGAACAAAAGTATTCTATATAATATTTATTATACATGAATATAATCGTTTATTGTTTTCAAAGGTAGTTGTGTATCATGTTTATACCTTGTTTTGTGGCCTGATGAGTGTAGATGGAGCTCAGACTCAGGCCATATCAGGAGGAGGTGGTCCAGGCGGCTTTAAGAGGAGAGAACAGCATCATCTGGCTGCCCACTGGTGGAGGAAAAACTCGTGCTGCGGTTTACGTCGCTGAGAAACATCTAGAGACCAAAGCCAATGCCAAAGTTGCAGTGCTCGTCAATAAGGTGAAGCCTCAGGTCTTTTTATATTTTGAAAAGAAATTCCTTTACATTATTTTTTAAATTTCTGCCAAGAAAAGAGATTACTCATATTAATTATCCATAATTAGGTTTTTATATATATATATATATATATATATATATATATATATATGAGCAATATCACACGACACGAGTAGCAGTGCGATGTGGCTGTATATCAGAACTAGTGGGAGGCATGCGTTGGCACGAGGCCGCAGGCAAAGTGCCTTACTTTCCCACCAATAACTATATACAGCCAGATTGCACTGCTACGAGTGTGATATACAAAAGTTTAATGGCATAATTGTGTGTATAAAAAAGAAAACCAAACACAGAGAGTCTAAAAACCATTTTGTAAGAGGAACTACAGTCTTCCGCCGTTCATACACATCTGCAGCTGACATCAGAACAGCAGAAACCAGTGCTTCTTCACAAACGTCACTTCAAATCTAGTATTTAAATGATTCTCTTGCGTAATGTCTAAAGTGATGACAAAGCAGGTGATTTTGCTCCCATTTTAAGATTATAAGGCTGAACGGCATTGAAATGCCATCTGTCTACAGAGATATCTCCCTATAGTACTACAGTCTATTACAGTCTACAGTATTTCTCTGTTGCTATCAGAATATCACAATAATTAAACCCAAAAATAAACAGCGCAATCACTACCAGATTGCTGTTGTTTTTTGCGATGAGGAATGCAGGCATTTCTTCTTTATTTTTGCCAACACAACACACATTCCTGATATGAGAGTCCCATCTCACACTCAATACACTACAATTATATGGTATATATTCAGCACTACAACATACAAAAGAGAGAGATTGACTTAGAATGTCATTTACCGGTTTAATAATGATTTGATCAGCTGTAGTTAGAAGTTACACTGTTTTAGCTTCTAAGGGCTTGTTTTGCGGTCTCTGTCGCCATCTTGTGAATGGACAACATCATCTGTCATTGGTCTGCTTAATGACAGGCTAATGGCTGCAGGCATGCTGTCTCTCGGAAATTATATTTTAAAATAGACGCTGCCCTTATAAATAGACTGCACAGTTGCAATCTGAGCAACTACATTCTCAACTAAAAAAGCCTCAAAGTACATTGTTGTCCAGCAGCTGCAATATTTGTCCAACTGTAGAGTATCCTCTGCTTGTTGCTGTATGTGGGCGGAGTAATACACAAGGGTAAAGAGGCTGGACAATTGCTACATATATATATATATATATATATATACATACAGTGCTCAGCAAATAGAGTATGAGTACACCCTATTTTGAAAATGAATATTTTTATCCATTTCTCAGTGAATGTAGGCAATGTATTTTGGTGCATTTAAACAAAACAGATTTCATAAACAGAAATATTAATTAAAATAAAAATGCAAAAATTAAAATGCAAAAAAATTACGAACTAACATTTCAACAAAATTTGATATATTTTTTTGTTTCTCTTGATTTTTGCTATTTTTGACATTTTTATTTAATATTTTTCTATAACGTATAAATTTAGGCTACTCATTTTTGAACCATTATTGATTTCTCTACCAAATATTGTCTCATTCACTAATAATTGCATGCGTTTTCATATTTATACACACACTTGAGCTTCTCACAATATTTATTTATGCCTAATTCAAAATACGTGTTTGTTCTTAAACTCAAGGCAGTAACGGTAATGAAGGTTTTGATGTTGGGTGTGGAATAAAGTTCCTGAAAATGTGAGGTACAGACAGCTGGCCGTTGATTGAATCTAAGCAGCCACTATATCAACTGTCTTGATGCTCAGGCACTTGTTCTGCACAAGACTGAGTTGACATTTTCCAACTGCAGGCACACAGAGCACTCCGTCAAAATGTGATGCACAGCAGGCGAATGCAGGGCAAATAAACATCATGATAAACACTCAATGCCAATAGAAAATCATTTTAAAAAGTCACCTCTCGCCACAAAAAAAAAATGCATTCGGCGTGTTTGGGGCCTTAAAAAGCCTTTCATTACTCTCAAGAAACATATCTATATGCTCACTAAAGATGCATTCACAGCTGCATACATATATAGAGAATTAGTCAGATTGTTCTATCCTAAATAAAACATAAATCAATGGAAAGCTTATTTATTCAGCTTTCAGATGATGTATAAATCTTAGTCTTCAAAAACTGACCTTTATGACTGGTTTTGTGGTCTATGGTCACATATAGCCTTTTCATATCCATTGTTTTTAGGTGCACCTGGTAGACCAGCACTATATGAAAGAATTTGGCCATTACCTAAGGCACAAATACAGGATAAAGGCCATCAGTGGTGACAGCAGTGAGAAAGACTTTTTTGGGCGTCTTGTTAGAGTCTCAGACTTGGTCATCTGCACGGCTCAGATTCTGGAAAACGCCTTGAACAACATGGATGAGGACAAGCACGTGGAGATCACTGGTAACTGATGATTCTCTGTGTAAATATGGTGCATTATGTTCAACCGAAAATGAAATATCTGTTTACTTTCCCTTCACTTGTTCCAGTCTATTTGAGTTTTTTCTTCTGTTGAACACAAAAGATGATATTTAAAAGAGTGTTGGAAATTAGTAGACATTGATTTATATGGAATTTTCTTCTTACTATGGAAGTCAATGACTACCAGTTTCCATTATTCTTCAAAACAATGTTTGAAGAAAATAATGAACAGAAAGAAAATAATGTCTTATAGGTTTGAAACTATTTGATTTTGAGTACATTTTAAGTTTTTATGCATGCTTAACAATGACCTCTATTCATTTCCATTCAGACTTTACCCTACTGGTCATAGATGAATGTCATCACACAAACAAGGAGAGTGTCTATAACAAAATTATGTGGCGTTACGTGGAGAAGAAAGTGAGAAAAGAAGGCAGACTGCCTCAGATTTTGGGCCTCACAGCATCACCTGGTACAGGAGGAAACAAGTCATTAGATAAAGCTGTTGAACACGTCCTGCAGGTGTGTTAAATGTACATATGTAACCCTGGACCACTAAACAATATACAAAACAAGCTTTGCGTTGATATATACTTTGTTAGAATAAGACAAAATTTGGCTGATATAAATATATATATATATATATATATATATATATATATATATATATATTAGAGGTGTGAACCTATACTGGTCTTACGGTTCAGTTCGGTTACAATTATCATGCCTTCGGTTCAATTAAATATCTCGGTGCATCACGGTGCATTGACGATGCTTTCTATATACAGTGTTATATTTTAGGGGGGAGGCTATAACAAGCTGTCTGTATAAACACACAGACACACAGCACCACACTGTCTCACATTTAAACAAATACACAAACTTAGACAGCACCAAACAAACACACACACACACACTTAAGCCCTCGCAGCAGGGAGAGCTCGCGCTAAGCGGAGCAGAAAAACGGAAAAAACAAAAAAAAAGAAGCACTTTTCTGACCGTCCGTTATTGAGAGCTCCTCTCAGCGCGAGCTCCCCCGGCTAAACACATATTGCGAGGGCTTAAACGGAGCAGTGCTCGTAATGTCGAGCGAAAAAAAAAGAAAGACAGCTGTGAAACATAACCAGCTTTGTCTTTTTGCAGCTTTGTCTTTTTTAGGGTAAGAGGTTTTTGAGTTAATGCCGTCTATAACTGAATGTGTGTCAGGAAAATCGAAAACAAAACCAACTGAACCACGCTCATTTCTGGTGCCCCCCTGGATGTACAGCGCCATTAGCATATGCCTATGGTGCCTATGCCACGGACCGGCCCTGAGTTGCCTGAGTGTTGTAAATACTTACTCTCACCTCCCTCGCGACAGAGCGCACAGGAGATGAATGTCGTCATTACATAATAACCGGTTATGATTATTACTGAACTGATACAGAATTGTCCACGTCTGCATCGCGGTGCACCGAAGAAACAATTAATTTTGACACCGAAAGAAAGAAAGAAAGAAAGAAAGAAAGAAAGAAAGAAAGAAAGGACAGACTTTGAAAGAATAAACAATGTGAGGAAAGCTCTGTTATAGTTCCATTGACAAGTCTAAACAAGTTCGACTCATGTATGTGCGAAGCAAGCAGTTCTGTACAATTACGTAACCCATCGGTTTAATGATATCAGCCTAACTTTTTTATCGGATTGATAACGATAACATTAAAAATAGCACTTATAGGCCGACAATTATATATATATATATATATATATGAGCAATATCACACGAGTAGCAGTGAGATGTGGCTGTAAATTAGCACTGGTTGGATGAGTCACTTCTACGAGTGTGGTATTGCGTTTTTACAACAGTTCAATCGCACAATCTTGTATATAAATAAAAAACTCAAACAAAGAGAATCTAAAACCCCCTTTTTATTAGAAACTTCTCTCTTCCGCCATTCATTCACATCTGTAGCTGAAGTCAAAACAGCAGAAGCCATTACTAATTCGCAACGTCACTTTAGAGCTAGTGTTTGAATGACTCTAACGTTGTGTCTAAAGTGATGACAAAACAGGTGATTTTGCTCTCACCTTAAGATTATAAGGCTGAAGGTGACATGAAATGCCATCCATCTAGAAAGATATCTTCTTACAGTGTTACAGTCTACAGTACTTTTCTATTGCAATCGGAATATCACAATAATTAACCCAGAAAAAAAGCAACGCAATCACTACCAGACTGCTGTTGTGTTTGCAATAAGGAAAAACGCTTAACACGTGCAGACTTTGCCAACACAACACACATTCCTGACATGCGAGCAAACCGGTATAAATACAGCAATACAACATACAAAAGAAAGAGATCATCTTACATGCCAACATGTCTATGAAAATATGAGAGACCGGGTGGAGGGGGTGTTCGGGGGTTGTTCGGGGCTGAGGTCTCTGAATAGTGAATAACACTGTTGAGAACTGGGATAGAATGCAGCGGGTTTGGGTGGCCGCTGCAATCGAGTACTGTACCAAAGTTGGCAACCCAGGGGTTTTTGCACACTGTATCAAAGAAGGGAGTGGGTAAAATTATGGGAGTTTTCCAAAAGAAATAAAAAACGGGATGGTTGCAGGAGATTAGTCTGAAATACGGGATACTCTCAGGAAATACGGGAATATTGGCAGGTAAGCTTACCATTTTAATAATGATTTGATCTGCTGTAGTTAGAAATCAGACTGTTATAAACTTCTAAGCGTTAGGGCTTATTATGCGGTTCTGTCGCCTTCTTGTGGATAGAAAACATCAACCGTCTTTGGTCTACACTATGGCAGGCTGATGGCCATCGACGAGCTCTCTCAGAAATTGTTAATATTTTAAAATAGGCACTATTCTTACAAACAAATTGCATAGTTGCAATCTAAACAACTACATTATTGACTAAAAAAAGCCTTAAAAGTACATTTTGTTGTCTAACAGCAGTAATATTTGTCGAACTGTAGTGTCTCTCTGCATGTTGCTGGCTGTATGTGGATGGAGAAACAGACAAAGGGTAAAGAGGCTGTACGGCTGCATATATAAGAAAAGTTAACGACCTAAAACTAAACCCTGAGGCACACTATCAGAGGCAGAGTCAATTTAATACCTGAAAACAGTCCTAAAAGTAAACTGGTGGTGATCAGTGAAACACGTTTAAAAATGAAGTGTATAAGCAGACATACATGTATAAACAAGTCGTTTGAAAACTAATTTATGTTGTACCATTTATGTTCTCTCGTTCTCAGATCTGTGCCAATCTGGATTCAAAAATTGTGTCCACCAAGAATTACACGCCGATGCTGCAGAACTTTGTCCCAAAACCCAAAAAGGAATATGACATTGTCGAAAGAAGAGATAAAGTACTTTCTGTCTTCCATGCAAATCCTAGACCTGCTGCTTGATCATTCAAGACCAATGTTTATGTATGTTTATTTGTGTGCAACAGGATCCATTTGGTGACCACTTAAAGTCAATGATGTTAATGATTCATGAGTTTATGCCACCAACGGTGAGTCGCGGCCTGCGAGAACTAGGCACCCAGGAATATGAGGCTGATGTGGTGGAACTGGAGAAAGCAGGTTGGAAGTCATTTTCACTGCTTTGAATTTTACATACGCAAATCTATGCAAAGTTTACTGGGATTGATAGTGTGTTTTGTGTACTAGGTGTAAAAGTAAACAACAGACTGATCGCTCAGTGTGCTTTGCATCTACGTAAATACAACGATGCCCTTCTCATTAATGACACCATTCGCATGGTGGATGCGTTCAGAGTGCTGGAAGAGTTTTACAATTCAAGAAGCAGCAAGTTGCTGGATGGAACAGACATCTTTCTACAAGGACTTTTCGATGGTTTGTATGCTTTACTGTGCTGAATTTTTTTGAAGCTCTTAAAGCAGGCTTGTCCAAACTCGGTCCTGGAGGGCCAGTGTCCTGCAAAGTTTAGTTCCAACCCCAATCAGACACACCTGGGCTAGCTAATCAAGCTATTACTAGGCTTTCTAGAAACATCCTTGCAGGTGTGTTGAGGCAAGTTGGAGTTAAAATCTGCAGGACACCAGCCCTCCAGGACCGAGTTTGGACACCCCTGTCTTAAAGTGACCATTTACCGTTCAAAAAAATAATTCATGCACTCATGCTACACACCTGAAGCACTCTTATTTTTAGGTTATTCTGAAATGCCACTTTACTAAAATTATATTCATGCTTAGTCTTATTTATTAACATAATTATACAACATACTATCCATAGTAGAAATATAATAGATGCATTCATTCATTCATTTATTCTAGCAATGTAATGCGGCCTTGATGTGCTATCAGATAATTCCTACTTTACGCTCATGATTACAGGCTTGTTAAAGTCAAGTGTTTTTTGTCAGAAAGAATAAAATGTAGCATTTTATTAATTAGCAACCATATTAAAATCCTCTGTGCTAAATAGTTAAATGGTATTTCACTGGAAAAAAATAAAAATGAACGTTTACTAAGAAAGCCAGCGGGTGCCAGCTACCAGGATTTGTCAAAATATCTTATTCTATGTTCAACAGAAGAAAGAAACTCAAATAGGTTTTGAAAAAGTGAAGAGTAAGTAAATGATTTTGGGTGACCCTTTTTAAATTGATGTCCAGGAAACTTGTATTTTTTATAATAAGTAAAGGCAGGATCAATTTATATTAGCAACAGGCTGATTTATGCTAGCAACAGGCTTATTTACGCTAGCAACATGATTACTGTGTTAATTGTTAAAAAACAAACAGTTTTGCTATTAACATTTTAGCAATGATATCCATGTGCTAAACATGTTATCGACATGCCAATTTGTCTAATCTTTTAAAAATAGTTTCTGACTGTTTCAAACTTTTTTTCCTCTTTCTCTGTCTATCTATCTATCTATTCACAAGCTATTTCAAACTATCAGTCAGCCTCAAATAAATCCTGGAAAACCGTCCCTCACATCAAGAAGAGGAAGCAGATCTTCACCAACACTTTTGATAGTGTTGGTGTGGATCTGTTTACCTCGACTGGGGATGTTGATGGATGGTGGAAGGAATATTTTGAGGATCTCCTCAATCCCACGCCTTCCATTGAGGAAGCAGAGGTAGAGGACTCAAGGCTGGACTTGTCCATCACCCAGTCTAAAATCACTGAGGTCTTCAAGCTCGACAGTGGCAAGGCAGCAGGGGTGGATGAGATCTGCCCTGAGTACCTCAAGCCTCTGGATGTTGTGGGTTTGTCTTGTTTGACAAACCTCTACAACATCGTATGGAAGAGGTCAGAGACAGTGCCTTTGGACTGGGCAACTGGAGTGGTTGTGCCTCTTTTTAAGAAGGGCAATCAGAGGGTGTGTTCCAACTACAGGGGGATCATACTCCTCAACCTCTCCAGAAAAGTCTATGCCAGGGTACTGGAGAGGAGAATCTGGCTGATAGTAGAAACTTGGATTCAAGAGGTGCAATGCAGGTTTCATCTGGGCTGTGGATCACTGAACCAGCTCTGTACCCCCAGAATGGTGCTTGAGGGTTGGTGGGAGTTTGCCCAACAAGTCCACATGTGCTTTGTAGACCTGGAGATGGTGTTAAACCCTATCACTCGTGGCCTTCTGTGGGGTGTGCACTGGGAGTATGGGGTTCGAGGCGCTCTGTTAAGGGCTGTCTGGTCTCTATATGAACAGAGCAGGAGTTTGGTTCACATTCTCGACAGAAAGTCAGACTTGTTGCTAGTGCATTCTGAACTCCAGCAGGGCTGCCCTTTGTCACCAGTTCTGTTCATAATTTTTATAGACAGAATTTCTGGGTGCAGCCTGAGGCTGGAGGGGGTCCAGTTCGTGGGCTACAGGATTTCACCTCTGCTACTTGCAGATGATGTTGTCCTGTTGACTTCATTGGGCCTGGACCTTCAGAATGCACTGGAATGGTTTGTAGTCGAGAGTGACATGGCAGGGATGAAAATCAGCACCTTCAAGTCTGAGGCCATGGTGCTTGACCAAAAATGGATGGCTTGGCTTCTCCAGGTGGGAAGAGAGATCTTGCCTCAGGTGGAGGAGCTCAAGTATCTTGGGGTCTTGTTTGCGAGTGAGGGATTGATGGAACATGAGATTGATAACGCAAAGGGTGCAAAAGTTGTGGTGAAGAAGGAGCTGAGCCGAAAGGTGAAGCTCTTCATTTACCAGTCAATCTACATTCCAACTCTCACCTATGGTCATGAGCTTTGGCTCATGATCGAAAGAACAAGATCTCGGATACAAGCTTCCTTCCATATTGAGAGGAACCAATCAAGGTGGCTTGGGCATCCGTTTCGGATGTGTCATGGACTTCCAGGCTGTTCTGGGCCATCCCATCAGCAGAAGGTCATGGGGAAGACCCAGGAAACACTAGAAGGATTATGTCTCTTGACTTGCCTGGAAGCATTTGCTGGAGCAAGTGTCTGGGGAGAGGGAGGTCTGGACCTCTATTCTGAGACTGCTGCCCCCTTGGCTGGCCCCAGATAAGTGGTTGAGGATCGATGGATGGATGGAAAATTTGTAATCAATTCCATCGAGAATCATTCGAGTCTTCTTTTCCGTTTTAAAGAACTTGAATAATTTGACTCTCTCCTGCTAATAATGTTCAGAAGTCACTTGCCAAAAATGATTAGAAATGCCTACATTTCCATATCCATTGTTCATTTTTAGCCTTGTGTAATTTCTAACAGCTGGTTATGGTATGTCATGCTAAAATGTTTAAATAACTGATTGTTAAAACGTATTACTGATTATTACCTTTCATTCCTTTAATTTAAGTTAATGGTGTTTAAGTTAACCAATGCATACTGTACCTTTGGCCTGTTTCCACTGAGCAGCACAGTTCAGTACACCACAGTAAGCATTTATTTCTGTCGGTCAGTCAGTCAGTTAGTCAGTTGACAGCAGCCTCTGGTGGATTTATTTGAGAACAGCAGGCACGAATGGCACTCGCGAGAGAAATTTGGAGAGGGTGCTCGCTGCAGAGCCATTTGAGGAGAGGTGAGCTCCAGAGAGGGGGAGCATGAGCTGTCGCTCCTCCTCCTGTAAGCTGTTTTAATGCGTACACCAACCCCACCCCTAACCCTACCCCCAGTGACATCACTCGTAGAAGAAATGCAAAAAAGGTGGAGCTCAAGCTTAAGCTCCCCTCTCTGGAGCTCACCTCTCCTCAAATGGCTCTGCAGCGAGCACCACTTGGAAATTTGAGATCTGAAAAAGCGTACACAGCGGCCTCCGGTGGATTTGTGAAAACAAAACTGCAAAAAAAAAAAGTAGCTCCTGGGACACATTTTGCTTTCTCCAGAAATGTATGTAGCGGTACGTTTTCAGAATGAGCCTGGGTTGTTTAAATTGGTGCGCTTCAGCAATGTATTGAAAGCAAGGTAAAGGGTTTTCTTATATTTGTTTAGAAGAAGTTCAACAGTGTATCGTTAAGTATACAGGATGGTTATTTCAGCATGCAATATGCTGTTTCGTTTTGACAATTGTACACATAGACATGATATGTTTGTGTGGCATGTACGCAATAAAAGTTATGTGCTTGATTGAGCATCCTTTTAGCTTATGTACTACCGGGGTTTGAATAAGAAGCGAAAAATAAAAATAAATTCAGAATCATATCCATAGCTTTCAGTAATAAATCAGAACTGGACTAGATTCTAAATATTTTGATCAGCCCTAACTGTGAAGTTAAATTTAACATTGAGACTTTGAAATTACTGATTTCAAATTATTGTTTTAAATTAATGTAGACAAAATAGTATAAAATTTTAATAATCTTTATTAGTTATCTGACCAACATAAAGATATTTATTGTACTGAATTTTTAAAATGGACTTAATTCGACTTGATTCGTGCACAGGAAAACACTGTATCACTTTTTATTTAGTTTTTTGCTTAAATTTTGCATATATTCAGAAAATGTTATGACTGAACCATTTCTTAATGTGTGACCTATGCTCACAACAAACGTTTGTTATGTCATTTGCATTATTAGCTATCAGCTGGTAAAATATGAGTCACACTAATGATCACGAAGCTAATATATCTGCTCTTCTGTTTTTACTCAGAGAACAGTCTGGAGTTAAAACATCTGGCGTCGGACGCCCGATATGAAAACCCCAAACTGGCTCAACTGCAGAGCAGATTGCTGGAAGAGTTCCAAGACACTAATTCTCGTGGAATCATCTTCTCAAAGACACGCAGAGGCACGCATTGTCTGAATGACTGGGTGAAAACAAACCGTGAGCTGCAGAGGGTCAACATCACTGCTGGCATTCTGACCGGAGCCGGTAATGGCGCTAACAACATGACACAGGTACTGCTGGGCAAAACAATATGTCACAAATGCTGTGTATGATATAAACATGCTCAGGACCCCCAGGTACCTAAAAAGTCTTAAAGCAAGACACAGGTGAATTAGGTTAAAAGGTTAAAAGTTTTTTTTTAAATGTTATGTTTATGAAATGTAAGCTAATTTGCATACATTTATAGCATTAAAAATATGAACATTGCCTAAAGCCACTTTCAAAATTCTTGTTTTCTTACATATTAAAAGACTAAACTATGTATGAACAAATCCCTCTGTAAAAACCTACTGTGAAGTTTGCTGTACTCTATGTACAGTAAGTGGCACCAAAGTGGAGATTTGTGGCTCAGTCGTAGGCCCACACGGAATCTGCGTGTGCAGAATTCCGCAGAATTCCACAGATTTTTAGCCCATCATGAATTCTGTTTATTTACTTGTGTAAATGTGTGTAAATTTATATTTATTCAGTTTTTAAATTAATTTCAGTAATATTATTGACTAATATTTATATGATTTATTTACAATATAGTTTGTAAAGTAATATTTTCTCTCCTTTAGTAGGTCTTAGTAGAAGACTTGCTTTGTTTAACATTGCAAACATTAAATATGTTAAATAAGTTTAAAATGTATTACTTTTTTATTTCATATATTTACGTTTTAGTTATGATACTCCCAAAATCATTCCGCATAAATTTGCTGATTTTTAACAAAATTCTGCGCAGAAATAGCAAAAAATTTCCCCAGATTCCGTCTGGCCCTACTCTGTGGTCATTTTGAAAAAACTACTTTTAACAATATGTATTTTCATTTAAATTAACAGACACAGATTGAAAAAGAGGGAAAATAAACACTTGTATTTTGGATTTTTTTTTTTTACATTATCTGTAAAAACTTAAATAAATAAAAACTGTGTTTTTTTTTTTTACCAGCAAAATCTTGCATTTGACATTTGGTTGAATTAACAGTTCTAGATTTTTGTTATTATTTTATTCCAGTTAAAAGGCAGCATAAAAAAATTACATGATATATATATATATATATA